ATTTGAGGGTACCGTATTAAAACCTTTTAGAGCGAACAGCTAATGGTTATGCTCTATGTTTCCCTGGGGTAGAGGTTTCCAATGACAAGTAAACTGTATTTATGGCAAGTAGCCTAGCCTTCTGCAATTTCGCATAACCTGTTATATTGATCCAAACATTCTCTCCAATTCGTTGGTTCACCTAAATGAAGTTGCTCGAAAATCTCACCAAAGTATTCCTGATACAAATTGTCTTCATTATATTCATGGCAATACTGAGACATATCATCAAATTGTTCATCTGTGACAGATTTTATGTAATTTCTACCACCTGAGCACTCGGGAAGAAAGTATAACTCGTCTGGTCTCCCGGAAATAGTATCAAATCTTGACTTTCGAATGTAATGAGAATTCCAGTGCAGCTGAACTGAAGATAGATCTTCTTGTAGAAGTTGATGGAAACAATACCACAAGCACGCTTTCTGTAGCTGATTGGATAAACTAAGATGACCTGCTTCGACAAGATCTTTAAAAAAAATAATCCACCAATTGACCATTTGCGTAATAGACTAAATTTTGATATTGACAAAAATTTCATCATAGCTTGAAAGAGCATCACAAAATTAGTAATATTCCGAAGTTTCGTTGCGAAATGTTGTAAAATGCGGAAAATATAGCCTTGCGAAATTTGTGATTTTCAGTAATTTTAGATTACAAACGGGAAATTGACAGCCTCGAACCCTTCGAGGCTGTCAATTTCCCGTTTGTAATCTAAAATGACTGCAAATTGCAAATTTCGCAAGGCTATATTTTCCGCGTTTTACAACATTTCGCAACGAAACTTTGGAATATTACTAATTTTGTGATGCTCTTTCAAGCTGTTATGAAATTTTTGTCTAGACTTGTTTAGATCAAAATTTAGTCTATTACGCAAATGGTCAATTTGAGCGGTTTTTACGTAAATATGACCACCAACATTCAATGCGTTGATTTGATGGTGATGTACCATATCTGTGTGCTTTTTCACCAGCATATTCATCGTCCCCATTGCATCGAAAGTATGACTGCATAGCAGCCATAACAACATTTTCTGTACCATTGTCAGTTCGTAGTATAGTTGGACATCCCCCATATTCTCTAACAGCATTTAGAAAGTGTTGTCCAGTGATGGCTGGATCATTGTTTGTCCTACAAACCTTTAACCACAGCACTTTGCGACTGTAACCATCTATGCATCCATGCACAGGAAAACCATAAGGTTTCAGTTTATCGTATCCATCGACATGCCATGAATGGTTAGGGCCTGGTGTGTGATAAACTCGACGACGAAGTGTCTTAGATCTTCTTTCTGACACACCTTCAGGGTCAAGTTCCTTCAGGACTAAACGAACAACTTCTCTTGGCACCTGAATACCTTCCATTTTTAATGTGTGCCAGACAGCACGGTACCCACCAGAGCAACCAGGACCGTCCAGTTCTTGCTGTATACGACGGCGGACGTGATCAATATTGTAATTAATGTTTTTCCTTTTAAGACCTAGGTCACGAAGTTTTGTATGCAATGTCCTTAGAGACATTTCAATGTCATGGTATTTCGATAAAAATGAGAGAATTTTCTGATAGTTGAACCCTCTCTTGAAGTAACGTTGTATAAGTTCCTCACATGTGGGAATTTCGGGTGGAACTTGATCCATTTTTCCAAAATATACCTCAATTTTTTAAGTCCAAAACAAACCACAAACTGACGAACAGAGCTCTGCGAATTTTCGTTGTTGCATGTTTTCACAATCGCAAAATGGATAACTATGGCGTTCCGTTCCGGTCAAAATTATTTCAAGTCAACAAGTAATAGTCAAACATTATATCAACATGTTATAACTCTCAATATAATGTTGAAAATATCAAGATGAAGTTCAAACTCAAAAAAATAAAACGAAAGTTTAAAGCATATACTTCAAAACTGCAAAATACATTTCAAACCTCTAAGGATATACATGAAAATTAAACGCAAGTCCAAACTTTTATTTATACGAAGTGACTATATGACCGGCAGCCGGTCACGGTTTATAAAATAGTAAATGGCCGGCAGTCTAGTGACTATTGTTAAAGTTTAATTTTTATAAGATAAACCTATCCCCAACCCCAAACCCTTTTCTAACCCTAACCCCTAACCCTAACCTTTTGAGAGTTAGAAAAGTCGGGAAAAAAGTTTAAAAAATTTTAAGAAAAAACAATGCTAAGTCAGACAAAACACATCGCGACCCCGACTGCGCTTAACCACAAAATAAATAATAAGACCAGAAGTCTCACTCGATGTCGGAATCTTTGATGTTGATGTCCCCGCGCATGTCGCCTCGCGCATCTTGGCCGTGTCTCGTTTCCAGTGCCCTAAACAAGTGTAATTTGACAAATTTACATGTAAACATTAAGGAGTGAGGAAGTTAAAACGATACCAATCGAGTTTTAGAGCTTTGGTGACCATTTTAAAAGAATATATGATAAATTCAAAGGTAAGTCTATCGTATTGCATTGTCTTAAATGAATTATCAGCTAAAATACGGCAATAAATGGATCATAAACTTAGCTAAATTTACTGTTGACAACGAGGTTGACAGATCCATTGCTTTTTTGCCTTGAATAGCTTTACCATAGTCATTTTACCTTAAAATGTAGCTACCGAGGATATCTCTAAGAGATTTTACATAGATTATTTGCACAATCTCACGATTTAATCATGCTGATAACATGAAAATCCTTGTGCCATTCTATACTTGGCATAATCTCTACATCAATAGTTCACCAGTTCACTAATATAAATTCAATATATTTTTGAACCAGTCCATATATTATTATACACAATGTAGTATAGTTAATTTGACCATACTTGAGAAGTAAGGGTGTATTTCATTACACAGACACTGCTGAATTTTAGGTTACATGCCATTGGATTGATATATAAAAAACACTTGTAAAACACACCCATTATCTTGTTGATAGAATAGTTATTTGCAGTATACTAACTGTTGGCATACTCTATTTCAGGACTATCAATTGTTTTTGTCACTGGCAGTCTTTGAAATACAATCTTGCTCTGTGGCCTTTACTGACAAGTTGGCTTTTACTACATATGTGGCACTGACACTTCTTTAATTAATGCACCAGTCAATG